CAAATTTTAAAATAACCGATCTCCAATTAAATTATCATGTTGCACTCGCAAGATAAATAAGGAGATTTCATCCAGAAATTACTTAAATTGTTGATGCCATTATTGATGGCATATTATTATTGATGTTGTCGTGGGGAATGTTCGAGAACCTGTCTTAATCCATTTCGACCGCCCATCTAACATAAAATATCTAAATATTTTCATATATTGGATTATTGGCGTACCGTCCATGTACCGTCCATATAACATATTTATAAATATTTTATAACAGTGATATATTTATATACACTATATCTATATGCGTATATATGTATATGATAGTCCTAAGTCCCTGCAAATACAAATATTTGTAGCTCGTATGATGTGTTTTCACGTTGGCATTATTTGTAATTCAATTATCTGAAAAAGTCACATAAAAAAGATTTTTAAAAAGTAATATGTATTTTTTTTGTTCATAGACTATTCCTTAATCCTTAATTATCCACAAAAGTCATTTATCTGAACATTTAAATCATACCGAAGACTCCTAAGTGCAATTTTCTTCGGCTAATGTCTCATTATATTGTTCTATATAAACATATAATATAATAAAAGTAAAAATTCTAAAAAATATTTGAATTTATCAATTTTTATAAAATAAAACAAAATTTGTTTTTTATTACATGGAAGACCGATACATCATGTCAGCATTCATGTTTAAAAATAACAACAATTATAAAAATTGAGTTTATTTTTTATTAAAAAATAAAATTTAAACTTTTATTTTATAAAAAAATAAAGTGTAGTCTTTATTTTATAAAAATTGAGAAGTTTAAATATTTTTTAACGATTTTATCTATAATAAAATATAATAAATTGACGATAAATAGATGTCCAATTTTATCGGAAATTTACGAATTGATTTTTCAATGAATTGGATTAATTTCAAGAGTATTTGTATTCGCTATGCTCTATATTTTGATAGTGAATTTAAATTATACAACTAATCTATATACAGAAGTAACGGAAGTGAAGATAATCCAACCAATTTCTTCAGGAGATTCCATGAAATACAGATACAAATTACAAAGAGATGAAAATGATAAAAATGGGACAAATAGGATAAATATGGAAATAACGAAACGATAGAGGACCAAAATGAAAACGGGGGTGAGGCCCATGGATTGCAAGTGGAGAAGACAGGCTGGAGCTTGTGATTGGTCAAAAAGAGGGAAATTAGCTGTACCCAAACGAAACATTATCTTTCAATAGCCACCCGCCACGTGTACATGAGCCCCACCCATGTGATTCACGGCTTCACGCTCCTCGCATATATGCGGATACATACATAATTCCCTGTGTTGTTAAATTCATGAATAAACAGTGAATTTTCTTGTGTTTGTGTATTTACGTAAATGGTTGACGATTCAAATGTTGATATGGTTTTGCTTATAGGTCGTATTTCCAATTTAGGATAGATATTTTTTCGTTCAATTTTTTAAAAATTATATCTATTATACCATCTTTTTAATTTAAAAATATTCGGTTAGAAATTATTTTAGATAGGATTAATTAGGTTTAAATACAATTATATCCAATCATCTTAATCAGATTTAATTAAGATATAATTACACGTTGGTTATGCGTTTTCTATGGATTCAATTTTATATATCCCAATAAAAATATTGATCTTCCACTACAGTTGACTAGTGTTATTTTTAACTATCGGCAAAATTTCACATATATCGGCAAAAATATTTTCATTGTTGTAGTTCAACAAAAATCATATGGTCAATTTTAATTTGTTTATCTTTTTAATCCGTAAATTCCCATTGTCGAAATCCCATTTCCTTTTTGGTCGGCGGCGGTGCCCCCTTAATTTGTGGTTTTGGTTTGATGAGAAATGCATTTTTGTCTTCGCTTGAATTTTCCATGGATCATAACCAATTTTTTTTATTTATTTATAACGATGGAAACCTGTTCTTGACCTTTCGGGTCGGATTCCGCAACGTTTCACAGTTCCGAGGGCCAGACGAATGACACAGTATCGGAAACGGTAAACCAACGCAACAACCGGCAAACCACGCCGAACAAATAAACCAGTCAAAACTGACTGGCTCAGAGGAAACTTACACCACGAATCGAACCTCTGACCTAGTGTAGGGAGAGTTGTCATGTTACCAATTGGGTTGATGGCTTTCCCTGACTATAACCAAAGTTATCATTTAAACCTCAAACTTACAACATGTAAATGAATAAAACTTCGAACTTGCAAATTGTTACTCTAATAACCCGTTGACCGGTTTGACCACAATTTCAGGCAATCGGAAATCCATGTTGGCCCGAAAAATTGATGTCAGCGTGTCCACATAACATACTTTAAATGATTTTTTTATCACATCAGCATTTTTTGGGTCGAAATTTAATCCGGCTTAAGAGTAAATAAATCCGGTTTTGGGTCAAAAAATCATTTAAAGTTGGTTACGTAAACACGCTGACATCAGACTTTTCGGACCAACATGGATTTCCGATCATCTAAAATTGTGGTCAAACCGGTCAATACGGGTTATTAGAACAACAATTTACAAATTCGAGATTTTATTCAGTACATGTTGCAAGTTTAGGATTTAAATGACAACTTTACAAGTTTAAAGTTTATTTGTATATTTTTTTGCAAGTTCAAGATTTTTTAGGGATTTTTCCTTGTTAAATATTACAATCGGTTGATTTTATAGATCTTATATAAATGTAAATCAAATAGCATTTTTAATCAACGTTAAAACTCGTGACTTAAACATTAATAGATGATTATGTTATATTTCAACTGATTGGCCCTTCACTACTGTTAATCTATTGGTGCGATTGGACCGACATATCGCTGTTAATTTAATGATTCGTTTTTTTTTTAAACTGATTTGGGCATTTAACCCAATTTGCTGGGTGTTATGTTAACCACGTTTTTTTATTTTGTCGAATTAGAGATTTCTTTGGAAAAAAAAAATACTAACCATTGAAAGTGATAGAAGGGAAAAGGATATTCTACGAATAATTTTTTTTTAAAAATTTAGGGTATTGTTGCATATAATAAGGCCGTTTTGGTCTGGAGAAAAAAAATGTATTCAAACATAGTTGCATTTGGGACAAAAGTTAGAAAACCAAATATTTTGTGTTTTTTTCAAAGTATTTCACAACCACCACAAAACTAATATTAAAATTTAGGAAAATTTTCATTAAAAACTATATATATATTTCTTTCGTCGCAATTTTAATCCTATATTTTTTTATTCTATTAAATTCTTACCTATTATATCTAACAATAATATATATATATTTTAGAAAAATTATCAAACAAACTTTTACACGTAAAAATTGATTATTTAATATTGACATATCAATAATTTTATCCTACTTATATGATATATCAACCATATAATATATAATAATAAAAATAATAAAAATTATAATAATATGAATAAAAAAATAAAAGAAAATAATAAAATAATTAAAATTACATGTATACATATACATACACATACATATATATACACTATACATACATATGTAAGTACTATAGTGTAAGTATTTATGTGTATATGTATATATGTGTATGTATGTGTATATGTATATATGTGTGTTTATATATGTATGCATGTGTGTATATATGTATATATATAAATTTATGTGTATGTATACATATATGTCTATCTTTGTATATGTATATATATAATTTTGTTTATTTTATTTTTTATTAGTATTATTATAATTTTTTAGTATTTTTATAATTTTTATTATTTAATATTATTAAATATTAGATGGTTGAAAATTTGTCATGTGAGTAGAATAAAATTATTGTAATCAGCGTTGAATAGTCAATTTTTTGTGTTTAAAGATTTATTTGCCAATTTTTTTAAAACTATAAGTAATTTATTATTAGATATAACAGAATAAATTTAATAACATAAAAAAGGTTAAAATTATGACCGGTGGAAAGTACAGAATTATTTCTTACTAAAATTTAATATAAATAACATTTAACTATTTTCGAACCAAAAAAAATCTAAAACTAATGGGATGTAATTTTAAAAGTAAATTAATAAAATATTTCAACAGTAATTTTAAAAAATAAAATTTAAATAATTATTTTTAAATAAAATCAAATATATGTAAAATCTAAACCAATCCAAAATACAATATAAAAACCAAATGATTCTTTAACACTATATATCTTTAGTGAAATATATATATATATATATATATATATATATATATATATATATATTACGTTATTTGATGTGATATAAACATTAGAAAAAATATTGTATAAATATAAGGATGTGTTATCAATTTTCCAAATTAATATACGAATTTTAAAATTTTATAAAAAATATACAATTTTTTTCCTCCTATTCAAATCCATGAATTTTGTAAGATTTCTAAATAATATACAAATTTTATAAGTGCTCTAAAAAGTTATATATATAAAATAAATGAAATCAAATATCATATAATTTGTTGGGAATGTAAAATTTATGATTTTAATTAGGGGAGAAAATCTGTATATTTAAAAAAAATCAATATATGATTTTGATAATTTTATAATAAACTTGTTGATTTATGTATAAGTTTTTTTAAGATATTAATATTGTAATTATACCAAGTCTTATTTTTTCAAAAATTCAAGTTGCCATCCTATTTGTTAATGTTTATTGATTGGACTGACTGAATTTGGAATATTATGTGCAGTCTTATCAGAAAATAACACCTTTTTTTTATTATTGTTATTGAATAGTAATTATAATTCTAGAATCATTTTATATGATCGGTAGATGTTGATGGGATAATGATCTTTCAAACATTTGTCATATTACCTGCAAACAGAATACATTGGTTAAAAAAACAAATTAATTTAAAAATAGTAAACAAAAAAGAAAAACGATAACTAATTATGGTTTTAAAATACAATTTATGTAATATTCATTTTTTTTCACATTTTGAATTGTTTCCTTTATAATAAACATGGATACCATAATTTATTGTTTCATTTATTCACCCCCGAGAAAACAACGAAGAATTCAAAAAAGAAAGAGAGAGCCTTTGAATCAACTATGATGGGCCTAAACCCAAAAGATCTAATAGCCCACAAAGCCCAAATAGAATCCAAAGAAGTCGTTTTCCTTCTAAGAATCATCCCACGAAGAGACAAAAACAAAAGGAGATCAGTAACGGTGAATGAGTTGCTTGTATGCATCTGGGTTCTTGGAGTAATAATCGATCTCAGCCTGTGATGAAAAAGGAGACATTATCAGTTCAAAACTTTCAAACTTGTAAAAGTGCCTATGTAATAAATAAATAATCAGAATGGTTTTTTTTAGAAGCTCTAAGGATTTACGTGTGAAAATACCTTGCGCACTCCTTCAATGGCGACTAAAAGCTTTTGTCCGAGCAGATCATGGAGGACATTGTCTTTCTGCAGAGCTTCAAGAGATTCAGACAGTGATTGAGGAAGCCTTTTTAGTGTTGCAGCCACTTCAGATGGGTTTGTATCTGATCACAAAGAGACGAATGGATGAGAAAAAATGAAGTTCGAGATTTTATAAAGCAGGGAAGTAGGGATGTCCAATTCAGTTAATAACGGAATAATCTAAACTGATAACAATATCCAAACCAAATCCGATATAAAAATTGAATGAGTATGATTTTTCTAAAATAAAAAAAAACCAGGAAATAAAACTGAATATAAATACAAGAAAATTTCTTTGAAAATTAAGTATTTTTATAAATAAAAAACCGAATTCAAATCCCAACATACCACAATAAACCAAACCAAACCAAATTCAACATAAAAAATCAAATAGTTATGATTTGTCTAAATATGAAATAACTGAATCCAAACACATCCGAATCCAAATTCAAATATAAACCGAATCAAACCAAATTAAATATAAAAACCGAATGGTTATAACTTTTCTAAAATCGAAATAACTGAACCCGAAAACCAAAATGACTCCGTGGTTAATAAACTACGCATGCTTTGTTGTTAAATACACTAAATTTAGACATATGTAAGTGTTGAGTGAAGTGAAGTTTCCAATGGCATATAGAAACATTTACCTATTGGCTCAGGGAGAGGAAGGTGTCTTCTGAGGCCATCAATGCCAGCAGCTATAATTGCAGCCAACCCGAGATGCGGATTTGCGCAGCCATCGAAAGATTTGATCTCGAAATTGGTAACCGAACCCTCGGGTTCTCCGGGCGGACATGCTGTTCTTATCGGCGCCTCTCGGTTTTCCATGCCCCAGCATTGGAATGCTCCGCTCCATGTGTTTGGTTGAATCCGATCATAGCTAAATGAAGTGTAAATTCAGCACTTAAGTTCACAACTAAAAATGCTAAATCAGTGGATTGTTCAGAGGATTCAAGAAGTCGGTTCTAGGCTCGGTGGTTAGGTGAGAACACTCGGGGTGGAGGAGCTCACCCGAAACGGCGAATGCCTGCCTGATCCATGAATCGGGTACCTGAAATTTGAGACACTTGTCCATTGGTGGGACGAGTATGGGTTCGTCACCCGCGAGAACCCGATCTTTTGGATCGAGTTCAGATTTTGGTTGACGAGTTCCCGTGTCCCGCGCGAGCACCCGAGTCAGTGGGGGAAAGAGGGCAAGCGAGGGGGCGTTTGGTTTTTTTTTTTTTTTTTTTTAAATTTGGGGATTAGGATTTTACTTCGCCGCCCAGTATCCGAGCCCTTACCGCACCCATGGGTACCCAAATGTCAGGTACCCGACCCTCACGACGCCAAAACCAAATACTCTGACAAAGAAACCCGAGAGGGCAAAGCCGAGGTCGGGTACCCGGAAAACTTGAATGCCCGACCCGAGTCCACACCCCTTAGAGAAAATGATTCAGAAAGCTAGAGTGTTACCTGTTAGGAAGGGGAGCGATGATTGCCAAAATGGAAGGGAGATGAAACAGAACCCCGGCCATGAATTCCGCCCCGATAGAAGACATTCCATGGGAGGATGATTTATCGGATGCCATGAAGACATTTTCACCATTCTTCCACAAACTCAGATGCACATGTGATCCAGAGCCAATGTCACACATATCATACCTGTAGTAACCACAGGTTGAGTTTTTCTTATATCAATACCATGTTCTTTAATTTGTAATCATAGAGCAAGAAAAGAGATCGATTCAGCTTTTCTAGTAGACAGAGACTTGAGATTGCTGAATATCCGGTAGCAAAAAAACGAAGACATACTTGGGAACAAAGGTAGCCAGCATCCCATATTTCCTTGCAACGGATCTGATAACTTCGCGGGTGTAAACCAAATTGTCAGCAGCATCGGTTGCAACAGTGTGCCCAAGAGCTATCTCAAGCTGCCCTTTCCCAGATTCTGCATGAAACTACAAAAAACATTCGATACATGTAGTGTTAAGAGGATAACACGCAAAAAAAAAAAAAAAAAACTTATCAAAACAACGGTCCACAAGAAGGGATTGAAAAGGGCTTTTACTTGTTCAACTATGATATTCAAGGAATCAAGTGCAGGTACAATGTCATGGAACAATGGGGAAGCAGCATCATATGAGGATGTGGAGCAGTACGGCCCAGAGTCAAATGGAACCCACTCTTCCTTTCCTTCCCTGCTCAAAAGAACATGGCATTGTAAAAATACAAGTAACCAAGATGTCAGGAACATGTCACATACCGGCAAATTCGGTTAATAACCAAATATCCAAACCGAGTCGGACCAAATAACACATAACCATATCCTAACCAAGTTCGATATAAAAACCGAACGGATATGTTTCTTTACAACCGAAAAAACTGAATATAACCGAACCGAAACCAAACCAAAATCCGAAATGATCACCCATACGTACCTTGTAGCCATTTTGAGGAGATAGAACTCATTCTCAAATCCGGCGTTCATTACCTACAGCCAAAAAAGAAAAAAGGATTTGTGGGATTAAGCATCAAAGTAAAGCATGTCTTCTCGAAGAAAGGTTTCATGAGTATGGAGACCTAACCAAGTCAAATTCATCTTTGAGAAGTTTCACGAGCCTTCTCATGGTCTCTCTTGGACAGTATTCCCATGCTTCTCCAGGTCTCAGGTGCATGTCAGCTAAAACCATCTCCTCTTTCTCCGTCCTGACAGACAAGTAAAGATGTATGATCAAAATTCAATTGAAGGAACCACAGAACAGAATGCAACATAACATGAAAGCAGAATCTGAACAACACTAAGATTCAGCCATTTCTAGGTAGTGATTCACATGTTTCAGCATAGTTGGTTGGTTCTGGAACATATAATTATAAGTATGAAGTTGTAAAACATTTGATAAAGAAGAGATCAACCCATATATGATGATGGATATGCAAATTTAGATCACCAAAGATGTAAAAAAAAACAAATAGCAGAAAGTTATTCCTGCAAAGTACACTCGAGGTATAATACCATGGAACCGCCTGTTTGGTTGATAGATCTGGAACCAATCTAATCTCGCCCACACCCGTCAATTTAGACTCTTCTGCTGGTCCATCTGTAAATGAGGGCATACCCATTGATGCAAACGTCAAACCAACACCGTTCTTCTTGACACTCTTGTTAAAGCGCTTTTCTTGAACAACCTGTTAAACAATGCCTCATATCATTTCAAAATGAAAACATAATGAAAAACACGAGTTATCTGATTTATGTACAACATTTTAAACCGAGCAAATTTAAGAGCATGGAGCAGAGACAAGAAAAATGCAATGCTTCTGCTAATCATAAAATATTATGTGTGGTTGCAAGTTTTTAGTAAGAATTAATAGCTTCCCATGAACTGTACAAAGTCACAGAACTGTTTTCTGCTGCATCCTGAAGGTTTGAGCAAGCATCAAAGTATATATGCAAAAGCCTACATTAAGAAAGAAAACTCACACGGCATCTATGTTGTCCAGATGAATCAACCCATAAAATCCGTACAAACGAATTGTTGTCTTCTTGAGCATCTGTCTCAGTCAGCTGTGATTTCAGAGATATGCTGTATGGTTGGTTGGAAGAATTAGCACTCAAATCTAACTTGTAAAACCCGATTGCATTTTGAGAAAGAATATCTTTTGCTGCATCAATAGCTTCTGCCACGGAGAGATCACCACTGGAACAGGCATCATGCAAAACAGAGAAGATGACTTCTCGTGCTTTCTTTGCACCTGTATGATACAAAGAATTTTGCTCAAGAGAGTTAGTGTCATGGATCAAGACATGAAAACATATTCTGCTAACTAAACAAATAATAGCAACTGGGACGAACCGAGATAGTAGGTCTCAGGAAATGCATACCCATCAGTGCTGAACATCACCTGCAAACTTCCCATGCTTAGCATCAATGGAAATAACCAACCGAGGAATATATGACTGGTTTTACACTAGCAAGTTTAAAAGACCAATGGTACTTTTTTTTTTGTAACAGCATAGAAACCATATCTTATATTCCTTAGAGAGGTTCTTTTTTTTTTAAATCATTGCCGGTTACCTTCACGTCTGAATACTGCATTTACATTTACCTTCTTTATCGGGGCTAGTTCGAGGAGCTGTTTAACTGAGGATATCATGCCATGGACACTAAGCTTGGGAACAGCTAATCCGAAGTCAAGGTAGACCTGTGAAGCAAAGGGACCATAATTATTGATCCCAAATAACAGTTTGCTGACATAAGAAGATGCCATTATCTAGGTGTGATGATAACCTGAGGATAAACTGACGAAAGATATGATGCTTCCCTTGAGAATGGGTAAGATGCATGCAGAAGAACAATACAGCACTTTGAAAATCTCTCATCCTCAAGAAGGGTTCGGAGGTAAAGTGGATTGGCAAACCTTAGATCCAAATCCCTGTCACCAAAACTGTTAGAGACAAGACAAAAATGATTAAGCAATCAGTAAACAGCGATTTTCTGATTGTCCAGCGCAAAGAACAAACTCAAAACGTGGAGCCTAGAAAATTCTACTGCTTCACATCAAAACCCACTAATTTGATCCACATGGACAACTTATTCAATTCGTTTCAATTCAGCTTGGTTCACTGCAAGATTCCAGTCTTAAAGTGAAACAAAAAAGTGAAACATAGGCTGAAGAAAACAGTTCTCTGTCCTTGCTCGGGTTGTTTATGTGAAAAAGAATGTTAATGGAGGAAAGAACAAAAGACTCAAAAAAATTTCAGAAATTGGTTACCCTGTGTGAATTTGCAATGGCAGATCATAATGTTGAGCGATCTCCAAAACATGAACAAGAATGTAATCGATCAAGCCTTTGTTTGAAATACGGACAGGCTTCCCAGCTGCAGCAGAGAGAAAGGAGCAGTATTAGAGAACAGTAATCATATGTCTTGATGGCATAGAGCATACTGGAACAGTTTAGCCTCCTTACCTTGCAACACTTCTTTAAGACCTTCTTCAGCAACTTCTCTACTCACATGTGTGTTTATATCCAGGCCGCCACGATAGGCAGCAATAGTTTTTAAAGCAACAATCTCGGGAACAAACGTAGCAAATGTCAAGGTATTCATAACTGTCCATTATCGAGAACTAATCATTTGAAGTTGAAACAAGATTGATGCAAAACTACGATTCCACGAGCTAAAGGATATGACTTCAATCTTTTCACGAAGGTTTCAGTGAAAGAATCCAAATTCCAATCAGACCCATCAAGATTCCCCTATGGAACACCAAAAACAGAGGAAAACATTATATTTCATGATGAATTAATAGAGTAGAAACACATACCAGATGACACGAAGAGAAAGAAGGGAGAGATAACCTCGTCGAGGATTTCCTCGGCAAGTGATTCAATTCGTAACACTCGACCAACAAACGGAACAAAGCTTCTGTGCCAGTCTATGTGATTCTTCTTGTCCAGCTTCAATCCATCATCGATGAGCAAAGCAGAAAATCCAGCTTCCTTGAAACACATTGAAGCAATAGAATCCAGTCCTGATCGTCTACGATATTCCTCGACTGCTTCCAAAGATGCCTCGGTGCCATAAAGTTCTGCGATCTCCCTCAAGTTCCTCTGTCCAAAAACAACATCCCCATTACAGAAACATCTATCAGTATCTTCTCCATATCAACCAATACCAAGCAGAAACACTACGATCAATAGCTCAGAGAACAAAATTCCGAACAGGTTTGGCCCTGTTTGATACATTTTGATCCCACCAATAAACGTCAAAACACGTCTAATATTGTTCTGAATCGATGTAGTTGCAGTCAAAGACAAAGAACAATCACAAGAAAATGACATGGACGTCCAAAATAAAACTAATGACCCAATAATACACCAAAAAGTCAACAGCATTTCAACATCAACACAGTCTTCTCCAACGAATTGGGAGCTAATTCGGCAAAATCATCAGCTCAAACTCCAAAACATTAATCAAATGATGATGGGATTACATCAAATGAAAGCTAAGACTGCTGAGATTGTACCTTGAAGGAGATCGAGTGAGGCACGAAGGATAAAGCGTCTCCAGAGGCTTCCGAGAAAGCTCCGACGAATGGGAAAGATGAGTCGAGAGAGACGAGGTTGTGCGCGTGACCGTCAACAACCTCGAGCTTCTCTATTGCTTCCTTCAGCGCTGCGAACTCCATCTCTCTCTCTCTCTCGTCAGTCAAAGTCAGAGCTGCGAGAGGAAGAAGATGATACAGAGCGTTGAGCCTGCAGGTAGGGAGGAAGCAGGATAAAGACGTGCTTAGCCATATATATATATATATGTCTGATAAAACAAATAAAAATAAAATCTTAAATACGTATTAAATTTTCGTACACGTACTTCGAGATTTAATTGAGTTGGAAAATCTCGAAACTTTTGACGGCTCTTATAGTACGTATTTGTTTTCTGTGGGAGGAAATTAATTAAATCTAAAAACGTTTGATTACACGACGAAATAGACGCATATACGAAAAAACAAGTACGCATATACATGATTATATATGGTGATATATATACATATGATCAATTTAGGATATGCATAGATACTCTCTCCGTACAAGTATATATATTTCCATTTGTATGAATGTTTTTCGTCGTATTTTATTTCTACAGTTGCTCATATAATGAAACGTTCCATGTGGATTAGTAGATACATAGAATGAGTAGCATACATATATTTATATATACATGTATATGATCAATTAAGGATATACAGATAGAATGTCCATAGTATATACAGATGATCAATTTAGGATAAATATAGATATGTATGTATATGCTACTTGCTAGTACTCACTGTGTATATATACTGATCCAGGGAGAGATATCTCTTTATTTGAAAAACGGTAGATACACTTGAGGAAAAACATACGTACAAATGGAAATATATCTATATGGAGTTATGTATATATACTTATCATTATATAAAACAACTGTAGATAAACATACGAGGAAAAATATATATATAAAAATGGAAATATACATGTATGGAGTTACTGAAGAAATATAAAATACGGAAATAAAATAAGACAAATAAAAAAGAACATAATTACTTTTATTGTTATATCTCTTCTTTATATTGTTACATTATAATGAAAATAAAATACATATTTATAGAAAAATCAAGAAATGAAGTAAAAAAAATATAGATACAATAGAAACAAATCAGATACACAATATTTGTTATAATATTGTATCCATTATTATTCTCTATCATATCTCAAAATCTTATTTTACTCCCATCCCATATTTATTTTTCCATTTTAACAGTTAATATATTTGGTTAATTGAAATCCTATTTAATACAGTGCGAACAAATATAATTTGTAATATGAATTCCTACGGCAAGAATGAAGATGGAAACAATTGTTTATGTAATATTTTTTGGTGATATTTCTTGGTTTTAACCGTTAGTTTTTTTTTTTTTTGGATTTTGCAGTTATTATGTTATATAATCTCAATTTTCAATCTACCTATTATATTATCAGTTGTATTTTTCATTTTATAAAATGAAATTCCTTTTGGCTTACATTTTCTTTTTCTCATTTTGAATTTTAAGTTAAATGCATAGCAACTTCTTTTTTTTTTTTTTGGTGAAGGTAAATATATTAAAAGTAAAAAACTGTTCGTATACAACCCAACCAAATGCGGAAACTAAACCAACAAAATTCATAGTATAAGAATGAAAAATCTGTAATATAATTTATATTGACAACGTCGAATCCAAAAAGAAAAATCATTTTCTTAAGACTAGTGATAAATACACGTATAGATAAATATGTAAAACACTTATTATATGGAAAACATTGAAATATTTTAGTTAATATTTCATGAAAATTCGGGTTGTAGGTTTTGGTTTTTGGATATGCGTTCGATGTAAATTCGTATTAGAAGAGCGAATATTTGATCTCTACAAGGCTTTTGTAAATATTAAAACAAAAAAAAATATGTTTAATGAAAAATACTAGTCTTCTAATACATAACGAAATGGATGTATTGTCGAATTGGGATCGTGACTCTAATTTGTACGTTTTAATATTATATTTTACATGGTTTTAAAATTTAAAAATGTGAGTAATCGAATATGCAACCAGTGTTTTTTATTGGATTTCTGATTATTGTTGATATAGCTCTGAAAATGGATTCGAACAAGTTTTCGAGTTACAGTTTTTTTAAATTGATTATCATATCAACTCCAAAGTTTCGAGGTCATTACATCACAGTAAACTCTAAAGATATAATGATCGAGTATCGAAAGAAAATTTTATAAATACCAAACGTATTCAAAGAAATATGAATACATAGAGAATTTTGTTAATGATTTTTTTCTTTTTATGTTTTCTATGTCAAATGAGTTAACCAAATATCTTTATTTATACAGAGAGGACAATATCTCGTGTTAATGATGAAATCAATGAGATTTAATATAATATTATTATTGATATCAATCTAACATAAATCATTCGTTTTTTACATATTTTATTTTGATTTGATTTTTTTATATCAATTAACAATAAATACTCGATTTTCTGATATATTTTTTTTAAAATTTTCTATAACCTTCAATAAACCGGATTTATCACAGATTAAACCTATTTTGATTGTTTCAAATAAACAAATATCCAACAATCCCCACAAGAATCAAACTATAACATTGAGTTACATAAAACCTAAATGTATCTCATGCAATTAATACATTGTATAGATGTCAATTTAGATTGGATTAGATGGATTAACCCAAACCAACTCAATTATTCTTGTATTTGGGTTATTCCTTTTGGTTAATTTTTTTACGGGTTAAATTAGTTATAACCCATTAAACTTACCGGGTTTAATGAGTTAACCCAAATAACACATTAAAATATTTCATTATTTATTCTTTATTATAATTAGAGATGAACATTTAATTCGATTATTTTTGTTATTAACCAAATCAAACCGAATAATCGATTGATTATGAATTCGTAAAAATTGAAATAACGGAACTCGAAACGATCAAATTAAATTGATTAAAATTTAATAACCGTTTGATTTTGAATTCTAAAAATCCGAAATAACCGAATCCAAATCGAACTGAATAGATTCAAATTACTCGATTCGGATTCGGTTCAATTTGGTTGGATTCAAATTCGGTTCGATTCGATTGGATTTGATTTGGTTCGTTTCGATGTGAATTCGGATTTTAATTTGGCCCGTTTTAAATTCATTTTGGTTTGGATTTGCTATAAATTTGAATTCATTTCGATAGGATTCAGATTCAGTTTGATTCGAATTGGATTCGGTTTGGTTCATTTCGATATAAATTTAGATTTGATTTGGTTCGGTTCTGATTCGCTATGAATTCTAATTCGGTATTGTTCGATTCAATTCGGTTTGTTCGGATTCGATTCATTTCGAGTTCGATAACTATATTGAAAAGATATAGAAAATTAGAATTTATAAGCATACATAATCAATTAAACTAAAATGAGTTAATTGGATTTATATAGATTTTATGGATTAAATCCAGCCCATTAAATTATTATTATTGGGTTGACCCAATCCAATCTATTAATTAAATTAATCAAATTGGGTTGTTTTAAATAGATTGGTTAACACAAATTGATATCACTAATGCATTATTTTATAGATGATATGCAATATAAAGCTAATTCATTGAAAGTATATAGTGTTCGGAAAGATAGTTTTTAGTTTTGAATCTTCAGTACCTAGTAATATAGTATTGGATGTATTTGCTAGATATTGAATTATTGAATAATTAACCTTTTAATTGGACACACACACACACATATATATATATATATATATATATATTGAATTTGAATTTTGAACTAAATCATTTGCCTTTAATTGGACAATATATATATATATACATATATTGAATTTATGTTTTAAATTTAATTGTACTAAACTTTTTTAATTCTTAATTAGACTAGAAAAACAAACTCTGAAATTTGGATCCTAATTAATCTTAAAACTCTTTCAACTTTAATTATATATATATATTTACCGAACTAATTTTTAAAAACCGAGTTGTTTTTAGATCCAGATTCATAGAAAGTTTTTATACTGAAATTTAATTAAGATTTAGACAGTTATCTAAACGATTTGCGTTGTATTGATCATTATTCGAATTTAAAATTGTTGGGATAGACGATTGCCTCTAGTATGGTTCTGGCAAGTCTATGAATCTCGATCAAAGACATTTCTATAATAAAAAATTATTTTTTGTTGAGGTCTGTCAAACCGTTTTTTAAATTTGATTGTCTTGTCAACGAAGAGAATGTTCTTTTCTTTTTCTGATTTGTGTGTCAAATGAACTAATTTAAAACTATATTATTTATAAAGGAGAGAATATCTCGAGATTTGAATATTTTATTATTCTTTATATCAATCTAACATAAATGCTTGGATTTCTTACTGATTAGACCCGTTTTAATTTTTTCAAAGTTCATATCCAACAATTTTTTTTCCATAATGCAATTCAGCATGATGTGATCTTCTTGTTCGTTAGAAAATTTTACATGTAAATAAACTTATTTAAGCAAAATCTAAAGTTTTGTCAATAAAACAATGTCATAAAAAATTAGAATTATATTATATTATTTCAAAAGAAGCTTTTATATGTGAAACAAAAATTAGTGTAAAAATAATATGTTGCTTTAAATTTATCGATGCGAATCCAAAATTTACAAATTTCGGATGTTATTTTACCAATAAAATTATCCATCTGGAATCGAATATTTTAGTCGCCGAATTCAAATTCGTCTTACCATATCGGATGAGTTCTTACAAAAACTTTTAATTGTGTAACACTGAAATCAGAGTTGGTATTAGCGATGTATTTTTTAAGATTAATAATATTACGACGAACTAACTTTTTATTAATATAGTTAATTTGATGATGACAACTTGATTAATTTTTCTTTTGGGTTAATGCTCTTAGATAGATCATAGAAATACGTGGCTAGAATATTCCATTAGATTGAATGCTCGAAAATTTGGTCTTACTAGAATCTTTAAATTTATGTTAAATTTTTTAAATAATACTAATCAAAATTTACAGAATTGGATGAAAATTGATATTAAATATGGATGTAATGTTTAGAATCATCTGTAACCAACATAAGATGCAGAAACGAACCTGGGCCACGAATCGATTTGCGAACCAACTCGTTTATAAGGGTGTAAAACGATCCGGCTCGACCCAATCGAGCCCGACTCGTTCCGATCTGGAAAAATTTTAGCTCATCCCAATCCAATCTGTTTTTTAGTGAACAAAAAATATATCAACCCAACCCATATCGTCTTAGTCCGTGAGCAAACGAGCCAGTTCGCGAGCCAAATATATAATTTTTTAAAATAAAATTTTAATATTAAAAATATTTAAAACTAATTTTTATATTTAACAAATTAAAATATTTAAAATATAATAAAAAATACAATTTTAAAGAAAAATAATCTAAATTGTAATAAAAAATATAATTTCTATATAAAAATATTTTAAAATATATAAAAATATTACAATTTTTCTTTTAAATAAAAATTGGCCCCAAAACCAGTTCGACTTGTGACGAGCTGGTCCGCCATGAGCCGACTCATGACGGGCTGGTTCGTTTGACCCGATTTTTTCTGGGTTCAAAATATTTAAGTCCAACTCGAAAAAATACGGGTCAGTTTATGAGTCGGCCCGCGATCGCGGTTCGTTTTATACCCCTACTCGTTTATATCGAGTTGGGTTGGAAAAATATGAACGTGAAAAAAAAACGGATATGGCGAGCAAACTCATCACGTACCAACTCGACCGATCTACAAGTTGACTCACCGGCCCGATTTTTTTTAAAAAATACATATTATTTTATAGTTTTTAATATTATTTTTAATATTTTTATTAATTTTAAATTGATCCCGGAGTTGAAGGATTTTAGACCAACCCAAAAATTTTCTAACTCATAAAAAATAGATTACAACCCAACTGAATTCAAAATGAATCAATTCAGATCGAATCGATCCAAATTGAGCCGAGCCAGTTCGCTTTGCATCATTTTTTTTATAAGTCGGGTTTCCCAGGCCCAAGAGCCTAGACTAATCCCCGCCCACGAATGCAAATCTGCAACACACACGTGGGTGTAAATCGGCCGAAACCGATAGGCGAAAGGGGAATCTCCATACTCTATATGTTGAATTCACGACCTCGCTTGGGAAAGTGACAGAACGTTTTTTTCCTTATGAAGAAAATTAAACAAAACAAATGAACCATAGAATCATTTCCCAACATAATTATCGCAAGAAGTAAAAGGAATGACACTGTAATGTTTACTATATATATTATTATATATAATAAGAGAATTGTTTCAGATAAGTATCACGCAAAAAAGATAAAAAAAAAAAAATCATTCAATGCAGGGAGATCGGATTCTGTTTTTTTTAGTTAACTAATTTTTTTTTTGTTAACAATCGGATTCTGTTTTGTCTAATTATAGCTTATTTATCATTACATATTTATTCCCTCCCAAATTTAATCAACGGATTTCTCTGTTTTGCTCTCGAGGTTTCCACTTTTGCCGCTTGCCCTTTCTTGGATTCATCCATTCACACCTATACATACATAGCTCTGCATACATATATATATACACACACACATGCATACATATACATGTAAACTCATTGAGCAAATCTTAAGCTTCACCACTTGTGTTTCTCGACGACATGGATTTGACGTTAATCGCCGTCAGCTTTGTTGCGGCCCTCTTCTTCTTATACGGTAAGTGCACCATTTGTACGTATATTCTCTGTTCAATTGTCTTGACGTGATTCTTTGTGTGTGTATATATATAATATGTGCGTGTATGGATGCATATATTAATTGATGCTACATATATTTTCTTGATACGCTCACAAATCATGTGATAAATATTCAGATAACGTTGATTGCTAACTAGTGTGTTTAGGGAAAAATATTGTCACAATCACGTGATAAATATTCCATTGCAAGTGGACACAAATACACGAAAATCAAGTACCGCAAAAATATACATCTTTTTTGGTATCCGCGAGATGATTTTATTTTATTTTTATCAAAATACTTATAAAAACCTGTGCGGATATGAGTATTTCCATTTTGTTAAGAAAATGTCGAGGATATTCGAATCTTTGGTCCGACTAATCCAAATCTTTTGAAAAATATTTCAGGAGCTGATGCGGCTGAATTCACAGTAAAAAACAACTGCCCTTTCACCATCTGGCCGGCAACTCTAACCGGTTCCGGCGGTCCGGCATCCACCACCGGCTTCGAACTCGCCTTTTGGTATCCGCGAGATGATTTTATTTTATTTTTATCAAAATACTTATAAAAACCTGTGCGGATATGAGTATTTCCATTTTGTTAAGAAAATGTCGAGGATATTCGAATCTTTGGTCCGACTAATCCAAATCTTTTGAAAAATATTTCAGGAGCTGATGCGGCTGAATTCACAGTAAAAAACAACTGCCCTTTCACCATCTGGCCGGCAACTCTAACCGGTTCCGGCGGTCCGGCATCCACCACCGGCTTCGAACTCGCCTCTGGCGCCTCACCCACCGTCAAAATCCAGCCACCGTGGTCCGGCCGGCTCTGGGCCCGAACCGGCTGCACCACCGGCGACGACGGTAAATTCACCTGCGCTACCGCGGACTGCGGCTCCGGCCAAGTCGCCTGCAATAACGCTGGAGGTGTTCCTCCGGCGTCGCTCGTGGAACTCTTCCTCGCCCCGAACAACGGCCAAGATTTCTACGACATCAGTCTCGTCGACGGCTTCAATCTCCCCGTCGTTTTGACCCCTCGCGGAGGCTCCGGCGGCTGCGAGGCCACCGGATGTCCGGCGAACATCAACGGCGCGTGCCCTGCACCGCTTCAGATGAAGAATCCGAAAGGCGATGTGATTGGTTGCAAGAGTGCTTGCGTCGTGTTCAACACGCCGCAATTTTGTTGCTCCGGCGAGTTTGGTACGCCGGAAAAGTGCCCGCCGACGGAGTATTCCCGCGCTTTCAAGACACAGTGTCCGCAGGCTTATAGCTATGCGTATGACGACAAGACAAGCACGTTCACTTGTAACGGTGGACCAAACTATGACGTGACCTTTTGCCCCTGATTTTTTAGGAATGATTTGTTTCCTATATTTCAAAATTTAAAAACTTATAAATAAATGGTTATTTAAGTTTAATCGAATTATTACTGTTTGGATATATTATATTTAATAAAATTTTAATAAAATATTAAATTAATAAAAATTCGTTTCCGTACGATTATAATTTAAATTATGAAACAAATATTTGGGATACCGAAGCAAGTCCGAGGTATTCATGGACGCTAAGGAAACTTCTAGGGATCAAAGACGTTGCACGACCATTTCTAAAAGTTCAACTTGGGAATGTAAGAGCAACATCCTTTTGGCACGATTCTTGGACCAACTTCGCACCTCTGATTACTTTTCTCGGAGACAAGCGGACCATCCTTGCTACGCATATCCCTGTAACTCTTCTGTTCATGCAGCATGTAGGAATGGGGAATGACATTTACCTGGTGCGAGGAATGACGAGATCCAGCAACCGCAGGTTGAAATGACCTCAATCTTGCCACCGTCGGAGGAAAACGGTGAGGATGACTTCTTATGGAAACAGTCCATGGACAACTTCGGAAGAGACTTTGCTTCGAAGAAAACATGGAACATTATACGGCAGTGTGGACCGACGAATAGATGGTCCTCGGTCATTTTCTTCAACCATGCAATTCCTCGTCTTTTATTCACGCAATGGGAAACATTCTTAGGACGCCTACCCACGAAGGACAGACTTATCCGATGGGGACGAAATACTTCACTGACTTGTGTCTTATGTGGGCTGGAAGATGAAACCCACCCTCATCTCTTTTTTACCTGTACATATATGTTTCTCAATCTGGGGAAACCTTGCCGCCAGGATCTGGAATTCTCCTCCTTCGGAGCTGCAGCGCTGTCCAGACTGGTTTCAAACCAATGCCAATGATACATCGAAGAGCCGAACCCTTATCTCGAAATGCCTCCTGCAAACCACAATTGAAGCCGTTTGGAAATAGCGGAACCGACGTATTTTTCGCAACTCCCAGCACCCTTCCTCGGTCATCCGCCGTAAGGTGGAGAATTCTGTCCGAACCACTCGCTTGGCAGTCTCCAAACGAAGCCGACGAATTCCATCATCTCCTCTAGAAGACTGGTACTATCTAGAACGAATATCTGGCAACTGAAACATATGTTAAATCTGCTATCTCCCTGTTGAAGGGCTTTTACTTACCACTTGTGTTGGGTCCCTGTTATTTTGATTTTCGGTTACACAATTGTAAACATTCTTGTTTTTTTACCTTAAATACAATTCACATAAAACCAAAATTTTTTTATAACATTGTTATTTTTTTTAAAGTCGTCACAATTATATACCATAATTGTAAAAATATGTAAATACATACTCGTATTATACTAGTTTTTCTTTTTAGATATATCATATATTAAATATTTATACGGTTATATGTTGGTTCGGTCGTATAGTATCCGCTTTAACTTTTTACTCTATTTTTTTATCCACTTACTACATCGATTTTCGAATATATGATCGATTACTATTCATGAAAAAAAATCCTAATATTAAAGACAATATAATTGTAAAACTATAAAATTAAAACTATATAAATACCCCTATTATACTAATTTTTCTATTTAAATATATCATATTGAACATTAATCGGTAGTAGATGGTTTAAACCGAGTATTCGATCATATATTGCCCACCCTAACCTATTACAGTATTTTTTTTTATGCACTTATTATATCGATGTTTGAATATATGTAATAGCGTATATTCCTGTATCAGAAGAATAATAAAACCATTGAACCGTTTGTCTCGCTTAAATTTGAACTGTGACATGGTATGAGAGTCCGACACCAAACAAATTTCGACCTCATCTTTTCATTGAATGTCTTCCGAAAACGAAACACATCCGACACAAACCCCGACTTTAAACCTCGATACATCCGATCCCCCGAACACTGCCTCAACCATGAACGTCGCGGCACCGACGTCTAAACCAGTGGCTCCTTTGCGCTGCACGATCTCGCCTTACGATCTGATACCGAGCGACAATCCGGGACTTGTTTTGTCTCAGCCATTGTTGCCTAGTGAAAACTACGACGAATGGTCCATCAACATCCGTCAAGTCTTGAAATCTCGAAAGAAATTCAGATTTGTGGATGACTCGATCTCCAAGCCTCCTTCGACCTCAACGGATTTCGAAGATTGGGACACTAACAATGCCCTGATTGTTTCTTAGATCAAGAACACCCTCGAGCCCCATCTCCGTTCTGATATGTTGCACCGCGAATATGCTACAAATCTTTGGGATTATTTGAAGCGTCGATTTGGTAAATCCAACGCACCCCGACTTCTTCGAATTCGCGGTGAATTGGCCAATTGCCGCCAACATGGAATGATAATTGAGGCCTATTTCGGAAAGCTAATAAAGCTTTGGGGTGATCTTGCAAATTTTCACTCTTTGAAAATGTGTCACTATGGTCACTGCTCCCGTGACATTGTTGCGATGCTCGAACAAGGAAGAAATGAAGATCGCCTAGCTATGAGTTTCTTCTTGGTCTGGACGAAACTCGGTATGGCATTGTTCGCTCCAATCTGCTCTCTCGATAGCCATTACGAAGTCTTGAAGAAGCCTATAATGCTGTGACCCAAGACGAAGGAACCAAACAGATTTCCTATGCACATGATGAGAGAGCTTGTAAGGCCCGAAACCCGCATCCCACAATACAAGTTGCGTCACATGGACAAGTAAAATAAAGTCACATTTTCCAAAAATCCGCGGGAATTTAAAACTTTTCTTTTCAGAGTTAGCGGAAGAAAACACTCATGCATATATATATGATACATTATTTCCAGTTATAATTATACATAATCAAGTGGTAGTGATAAAATTATTACAAACCTTAAAGTCTACCACCGATATAAACAAACCGTTTCCCAAAATATAAATGTATTAAAATACGTAATTATACATGATCGGCTGATGTGCCCTGCCCAGGTCTCCGATGTCCGCTCCTCGGCTACTGCTGCTCACGACCTGAAACGTTGCGTAACAACGTCCTAAGCTAATTGCTTAGAGAGTGAACTCGGGCGTAACCCGGAGTTCCATTCTCATGGTGCCAGGGAAAGCACATTCATATATATATATATATATATACTTATATATATATATATTAATATTCTAATAAACAGGAATAAGAAAACATCGAATCACGGTAAGCATACAACAATCACAATCAAATCCGTACGACAAGTCGCAGGACATAGTCCGTCAAATCGTCTCTACGCGCACTCGACAAAACGATCAGATCTGACAATGGCTCCCAATTTATTAGCATGAAGGAATATTTCTCCGAACAGGGATTGTCCATGAAACTTCATGTGTAGGCACACATCGACATATTCTTAACGTAGCCCGATCATTGTTGTTTCAAGCCAATCTCCTGATACAATTTTGGGGCGAGAGTGTGTTCGCCGCTGTCTATCTTATTAATCGGACTCCATCTATGATTCTCAATGGCCGCATACCTTATGAACTTGTTCACGGACAAAAACCGACATATGAGCACTTACGTGTATTCGGTTGCCTTTGTTACGTTCACAATCAACTTCGAGGAGGAGATAAGTTTGCTCCACGCAGTTCTCAGTGTTTATTTATCGGATATCCCTACAGCCAAAAGGGTTGGCATGTTTACAATCTTGATACCAAACGGATGTTTGTCTATTGGAATGTAGTTTTCTGCGAAAATCAGTTCCTATATTTGCAACCGCCTCTTACGCCAGTTTCTGCCAGAAATGTTGATACGTCTTCTTTTTGGGAAGATGATGATGCTGAAATTTTCAGGTTTCGCTTGATTCCATCCGTTCTATCCTCGTCTTCTGCGATGAATTCTTCGGGTGATTTGGCAAACTCAGAGATTTCATCACCTACATCACCTCATGTTGCGAGCCCCAACTCTATTTCCTCTGATAGTGCAGAACTTCACTCTGAGCATAATCCTGAGGCTTCCCCTGTTTCAGATTCTCAGATTATTCCTAATGTTTCTCCAGATTCGAGCTCTTCACTTGCTCCAACTACTAATCCACTTGATGTTTCTGAGTTTGGCAGAGGACACAGACAACGAATTCCAAATGTACGACTGAAGGATTTCGTAACCAATTTAGTGCGAGTTTCGGCTTCTCAGGACAGTACCACACGGGCTGAACCTTCGCAAAAATTTGGTATTATGTTTTCCATTGAGCATTTTGTCTCCAATGCTACTCTGTCTCCGTTTTACTCAGCCTTTCGCAGTTGATGCCAATCCTGAACCTCAGACACTACAAAGATGCAGTTAAGGATGTAGGGTGGAGAGCGATGATGCAAACAAGATTGCCGCTCTTGAGAAAAACCAGACTTGGATAATTGAGTCTCTTCCTCCGAACAAGAGAACCATCATTTGCAAGTGGGTCTTTCGCAACAAATACAACTCAGATGGCACACTCGAACAACACAAGACTCGTCTCATAATTCTTGGAAATAATCAACAAGAAGGCATAAATTACAACGACACCTTTGCCCCCGTCGCTAAAATGGTGACCGTTCACACATTTCTTGCCGTTGTCGCGGCTCGACAATGGGACGTTTATCAAATGGACGTACATAATGCCTTCCTTCATGGAGATCTTCAGGGCAAAGTTTATATGAAACTTCATCCCGGTTTCACTCCATCCCGAGCAAATCAAGTGTGCCATCTCCGGAAATCTTTATATGGTCTAAAGCAAGCTCCCTGGTGTTGGTTCGCAAAGCTTTCCGCGTCATTGCTCCGGTATAGTTTTCAGCAATCTCAATCCGATCATTCACTCTTTCTGTTTCACAAGGTTAATACCCAACTACATGTATTGGTGTATGTCGACGACCTTCTCATTATCGGAAACTCTAGCTCTGTTGTAAAGGCTTGCCGTCTCCAAGAGTGACTTGCTTCTAGATCCTGAACCCTATCGTAGACTCGTCGGAAAGCTACTATATTTGCTTGGAACTCGGCCGGACATCACTTATGAGTTCACAACGCTTTCTCAATTCATGCAACAACCTCAGATTGATCATTGGGAGGCTGCCTTAATGGTGGTCCT